TTAATTTTGCTTCACTGGTCGTATCATTCATGGGAAATCCCTCGCCAGGATCAGTCATTTTGCAAAAGTGTGACTGACTCAGCTATTCTGATATAAGTGTCCAGTTGTAGTCAGACTGTCTAAACCACATAGCTTGACCACCAAAAGTGAGAAAAAAGTGAAAACACAAGTCCCTGCATCGTGCGCGGTAAACAAACTAGCCAAAAGTGCACCATATTTGTGGTAAACCCCATCCGCACTTAGTTTTAAAGTGTCTATTTGACCATGCGCATCCCGAGCGTCATTTCCGGGCCTTGCAATAATGATGCGATCTAGTCTAATGAACTAACACTTAAACAATCAGTCCAAGTACTGTTTAACCTCAAACACCACCATGCACATTGCAAACGTAAGGTACTTTCCAATATTTACAAAAATCTTTAGGTCAATAAAAAACCTTCGGCGTCAAGTTTTGTTTGCCCCAACCTTTCCAACATGCACATTGCGAACCTAAGGTACTTTCTAATGTTTACAAACATCTTTAGGTCAATAAAAAAACCCTCGGCGTCAAGTTTTGTTTGCCCCAACCTTTTATGCTTTGCAACTAAGCTGAGAATAATGAGTAAGATGAGTGTAGCTACATGGATGGTGGCAAACTACTTTTACAATCAACATGGAAACGAGAGCGCCATTTATGTGCTAACGTGATTGTGTGCTTGCCTATACCGTCTTCTACAAAATCAAGATATGTTTGCAACGATGGAAAGTTTGCCCTGGTTTCCGTAACGGTTTGGTTAGTTTGTCCACTAAAACCAATAATCTACTGGTGGCATAGTGTTGTCCTTGTACGTTGCGCGGTCCACACAAGCAACTGCGTAAGTTCACAATTTTGATACAATATCTTCACTGTTTACAGTAGGCATCAGTATACGCTCGGCTAACGGGGTCGTTCATCCCAGCAAGTCTAATACATGGATGAGTCATATGAATGTCAACGTCTAATGCTTCATAACCTTCGTTTCTCTACCTCCACCACAGAGGTAGCATACTAGATTCATCTAACTTTGATCTTTCTCACCGCTCTTGATGGTAAATTGTGCTTTGTTTTAATAAGTCTTCTCGAAACATCAATGTGGCAACAATAGCCTTGATATGGGGTTTTTCTCACTTCAGATATATCATTCAATCAAAGGTCTGTTCAGCGATGGCGACATTTGTGTGAGAACAAATCACACCTCATTCCAAAGTTTTAGGCCCGGAAGCAAGCCGGCCGTATGATTATCGTATGAAGCAGTCAAATCACCGCCGTAAGGCCGGACCCACTGAGGGCGACTCTTCTGCAGAGATCGTTAGCGGTCACGGTTTATTCGATGGGTTAGTGATCGGCAGTGATGCAAAAACTTTGTCTAAGAATGTCTCAGATGACTGTCAAATATCTCGTAACCCGATGACCAAGTGAAAATTTCTCATTCAAAGCTTATTTTTAACGTGGTTTGTGGTACCAAAACTTCACATTCCAAGGATTATAAAGGTTTTGTGTTCCGAAATTGTCCACTCAGTATTTACTAACTGACACATCAAGCCACAGAATGATAGGAACTGAGTTGAAGTCTGTGACCGTTCTAGCGTACCCTCGGAAAACCCTTCCACCATCCATTGTGGAACTTAGTGATCAAGAGCCCGGTTGACAAATACAATCTGCACAAACCACAAACTGAAATGAACCCGGAAAAACTCGCATCACCACGTTTGGTAACCCGCCATGACCTGGAAGGCTCCCATATAGGGGCAGTGAGAAACGTGGAAGCGGGGAAGGAAGATTCCACATTTTGACCACAGCTATTCTCAGAACGATCTACTTTTTCACCATCCGTCCTGGAGAAACGTTTCGCTAGCCAAACCCTAATCCCAAACTGGCAAACTCAGCTAACATCAGCTAAGCTACGGTGGCAGCAGTGCTAAAATTTTCTGGAGTGTCTGAGATTTCCAGACAGAATGATCCAAATGAATGATGCATGAATTAAACTAACTCCTGAGCTGCCATGTTTACAAATTCACTAAAAGTCATTTTCGACGACCCAAATGATGCAAATTGTGGAACACTGCTTACATTGTGCAATGGGTCCAGCAAATTACTGTAAAACGATCCAAGTGAGGTTTTTGTAGTTTCCAAGGTATGTGAGCCACGCAACAATATCACGTCTTCTACATAATTGTTTCAAGAAAGCATGGGGTGATTTAAAATCCCGGATCAATGCTTTGTAGCCTGAAGTAGTGCATAAAACTTACAGGAATTGACGACCAGATTAAAATCTGCTTTCAGACAGAGCGATGAGTGTCACAGCATAGGGTATTGGCATCTGCATAACTCAGCTTCACTATTCCTACTCCACACTATATATGGATACCTGTAATTTCGGCCCTTTAAATCTGCATTTCATAACTATATTATTCACAGTATAGAAAATGGCTGATATACAGCAAGCCGAAAATAAAAATAGCTGCAAGGTGACTGCTGGACAGTTTTTGACAAGCTTTACACTGAGGAAACCGTTTGCACCATACTACTGACGTATATCTACAGACCACTCGTCTTCGCTGCGTTGTGTGCGTAGGGTGATAGGGTATCTGCAGATTCAAACAAGTATTCGAACGTGAGGAAAACAGAGAACGCTGATCAAGGACAGTTTATAGGCTAAACTTGATATGTCTATCGCATCCTTTGAATAATTCTGCTTTTCTCTCCAAGACAACCTGCACAAGCTGGTTGTCACAAGATGAAACAGTTTGCATGCGTTCTTCATTCTCGTAATCCAGTCGGTGCATCTGCAGTTACACAAGCGGTTTATTTTCACCCCCTAGGTAACAGTGCAAAATAGGTGGTATCACACCACTGTGCTGTAACCCCTTTTGCCGGACAATTGAAGTATTTCAGTTAGCGAACAGCTTATTTGTTGGCTTTTCGATAATTATATTCATTTTTTGACTTCGTTGATTGTAGTTTTTAACCAGCGTAACCGGCAACGGAGTAGTGTCGGGATTTCTAACACCGATGATGCGTTAATGCACCCATCCTGGTGGAAAAGAAGCTCGAAGATCCCGAGCGCCCGTTATCTCCTAAAGAATCAGTTAAAACAGCTGGCTATGGATCAAAACCATGTACGAAAGATATTTTATTTTGGAGACCCAGCACTGTACACTAAGGTACATGAGCTAATCAGTTCGGCTAGACAAATCCTTCCTTAGTCTATGTACAAGTTCTTATTGTTGACAACAGAAAAAGCTCTACTTTTTTTGCTTGGAGAAGGGTGAAATTCAACTACAGGAGTACGCAAATCATAGAACGCTGTTTGCGGCAAAGTACCCGAGCGACTGGTATTTTCCAGATTCAGAAACAACAAAATAGTTTGGCGAGCGGCTTCACATTTCATAACTGCTGTTGATTGATTCTCCGTTTTGTTATTTTTTCCTGGTGCCAGCGGGACGTAACCTGCTATACCATATCTAAAAAATATCTTTAGTACATTTTGGACGGCTGGTAGAAATATTTTAGTTTGAACCTGGGCGTTGTTTTTGGGTAACCGTGCGGTAACGCCATCAACTACAGCTTGCACAAGACACGAATTGTTTTTTCATGATTTTATAACCAGTGTTACTCTCTTGAAAAAAGGTTTCATTATTTTCAAAGGCAAGATACATAGCAAAGTTTATTTAACGGCAAATGCCTTAGAAAAATGCCTTTTGCTGGAATTCCTAAGGAATCTTTGTCTGTAAACTTTAAGCCACATTGAGCAGGCCCAAGAACTTTTTGTAGCATACGCATGGAGTGTTTTGTTAAATCCTGTACAGTGAAAGCACTAACGGCATTGAATTTACTTGGTGTACATCCTAAAGTAGGTTGTGAGCTCTTTCACGGACGAGCTTCTGCAACACTCCTACACACATTTCTGTACTGCACTTCAGAATCAGACAAATACAACTGCCCTATATTAATGGAGACTTCTTCCTGAGAGTAAGGTCATTTTATGCTGAAAAGTTGGGAAGCAATCTACATTGATTTTGCTTTTATTGGGACGCATCAGCAGTGTTCATGTCACCAGACTTTATACAATCTGGAACCGGCAACCCGCCTGGCTAATAGTCTGAACAGTTAGCCGTTCGGCCAAGAACGGCTGATCGTCAATGTGAATAACTCGCACTTAGACGCAATATGGCCCCGTTCAGCATTCATTCACAGGTTCCACATCAAGTCGTTACACGCATTTATTGGATGCCTGTGTAGGACTCTCATGATTTACATGACGCAATGGCACATCCGTCCGTTCTGTCTGTCTGTTTACCGTTGTCAGTGAAACTGTTTGTTCAAGAATGCATTCAACCATCTCCCGTTTGGCAAGTGCAGAACTCCCGTGTGTATTGGGTCATAACATTGAAACCAGTAAGCAGTTTTGGCTGAAGTATGGTAATAATGTTACATAATATAACATAATACATTACACTATAATATAATAACACAAAACCCGGTAAGAGGATACACTTTGATAAAACCTGGAGTTCTAAGTATCATAGGGCGATCTACATGCAAAAAATTGGAAGAGTCCCGATAACTTCCTCATCGGAACGTGCAATCATCGGTTCCACATAGGGCTGGCGCTGGTTCCAAACCATCGGCCGTTACGTATCAACATTAATTTAATATAAACAATGTAAAAATTCCAAAATGCTACTACGGCTTTTTGCAATTCAAATGTTTACTATGGTTTAGGCGCTGCTTTCTTAGTAGAAAAAAAGAATGAAGAAGTTACATGGACCGTTTGAAAACCGGTTAGCTTGTTCATTGGGCACACTGAAGGAGTCTGCAATATTAATGTTTTTTGTGTGAGCGTGTTTTAAATAATATTGTATTTGCCATGTCATTCCTTGTTACCTTTAGCAAGGTTGAGTGCATCCATTCTTTCCATTGTTTCCAGGTCCTAGCTCCGGATAGCTGACCCTTCCGGGCTTTTCGTTTCACGTGCACAATGCGAAAAATGCTATCATTTGTAATCTCCTTGGTCGCCTTGTGTTTGCTGTTTGTCTCAAGCAAAGTGGTTGACCAAGCTAATGCAGCGGATGTAATAGACGATGCAGTGCTGCTACAAGGTTATCGCCGACACATCATCCCGAAGAACAGTGTTGCTTTTCAGAATGGAACGCGTCATCCGTTACTGGTGGATGTCAACATCTTTGTATACAGCTTCAGCTCAATCAACGTTGCGGCTATGGACTACACAATCGATCTTCTGTTACGCCAAAGGTGGTTGGATGAGAGACTTTTAGTAATAGCACCGAATGAGCCGGTACCAAAGGCTATATCATATATGAAGGAAATGCTGTGGCTACCAGACCTATTTTTCAGGAATGCAAAGAGCGGCTTTTTGCACAAAATCACCCAACCAAATTATCTCATCTGGGTGGACACTGATGGTGTTGTAACATTTAGTCAAAAAATATCGCTCAAAGCGTCTTGTCCGATGAATCTGTGGAACTTCCCATTGGATACCCAGTCATGCAAATTGAATATGGGTAGTTACGGTTACGCCAAAACAGATCTGGATTTCTGCTGGTGGCGGAAAGAAAAATACATACCCGTGGACAATGTCTACTGGAATCGATCTACAGAGAAAGCGGTTGTTGTCCGACCCGGCCTTGAAATTAACGAGTTTGAACTTGTGGCTAGTACGGCCTATTACTGTGACGTTCAGTACTCTACCACAGGGAAATTTTCTTGCCTTGAGCTAGAATTCAAGCTACGGCGACGTCTTGCCTTTTACTTGATCTATGCCTATGTGCCTTCTATGTTGGTTGTGACCACTTCGTGGGTTTCATTTCTTCTGGATCCGTTGGCTGTCCCAGGCAGAGTCTCCATTGGTTTACTCTGTATTCTGTCACTGATCACACACAGTGCTGCAATTCTAACGCAATTGCCTCGCGTTTCTTATATCAAAGCAATGGATTTGTGGGTATTTACTTGTTTGGCATTTGTGGTAACTTCACTGCTAGAGTTTGCCGCAGCTAATACAATCCGTAGAAGAAGCCTAGGCGAGTGCGGCCCCAAAAAACAGAAACCTGCGTCGAAAAAAGAAGCAGCACCTCAGATTGTTGTCCAGGATCTCAAGCCTGGTAAATTGGATGAGAAGAAAAGCAAGGATTTAGAACTTTTGGAAGAAGAGGAATGCCAGGGTTTGACTGAACCAGTGGGTCAGACACTCAACGATAAAGAAGGCACCGGTGACCTGCTATGTGGCGGTTGTTTGCCCAGTCGCTCGCGGTTAAGAGAGATTTTCCAGGGAGAACGCCTAGACGCCAACTTTGCTATTGGCTATCCAATTGCGTTTTTGTTGTTTAACATTTTATACTGGAGTTTCTACCTCTCAACCAGGTAACTCGTGTGATTTTTCATGGTTTACGTCACGTTTGTGTGTGTATTCCCGAAGTTTCCAGTCTGATTTCCATGGATCAAGTAGACACATTCGGTTAACCACCGATTATTTCGCGGTTTTAGCGTTTGTCGATGATGACCATCTCCTTGTCGTTCTACTTAGTTTGGAGCAAACACGTTGTTCACAGAATTGCGTTTTTGAACTTTTATCAATTTACAGTATAAGGGGTATGAGAAAAAGTTAATAGTGGGTGATCATATAGCTTTCCTGATAGTTTATGGAACGAAGACTGTTTTTGAGTCGGAACAGCTGGCCATGGATCAAAACCATGTACAAAAGATATTTGATTTCGGAGACCCAGCACTGTACACTAAGGTACGTGAGCTAATCAGTTCGGCTAGACAAATCCTTACTTAGTCTATGTACAAGTTCTTATTGTTGACAACAGAAAAAGCCCTGTTAAACGACCAGCAATGTTCAACTCAACTGCTTTTCTGCCTAGAGAAAGGTGAAATTCAACTACAGGAGTACCCAAATCATAGAACGCTGTTTGAGGCGAAGTCCCCCGGGCGACTGGTATTTTCCAGATTCAGAAACAACAAAATAATTTGGCGAGCGACTTCTAAACTCAGACTTCATTAATGATGTTGATTGATTCTCCGAATCGTTTTTTCTGGTGCCGGTGGGAGGTAAACTGGCATGTCAGATCTAAAAATATCTTTAGTACATTTCGGACCGCTGGTAGAAATATTTTAATTTGAACCTGGGCGTTGTTTTTGGGTAACCGTGCGGAGGTTGTGGTAACGCTATCAACTACAGCTTGCACAAGACATGAATTGGTTTTCCATGTGTTTAAAGCAAAAAGGTTACAATCCGACGTGCCGGTTGCTGTGGTTAATTTTTTCAAAGAGTTCTGCAACCGGTTAAATACGAGTCAGGTGAAGCGTTATCTGGGCCCAAATATCGTGCTCAGGGAGGAGTTGAATTTTTCTAGGTACCAGCGAAATCAACGGAAGAAGACCAAGGTGAAATGTCTGACCAAAGCTAGTAACGTTCGGTCATTGTTTCTCTAAGAAATATGAAACTTCATGTGGTTAGCTGTTGCGTTGATACCACTAAGGATATGTCCATCAAGTGATTGGAATCTTGAGAGTTTCTTGAGGATATCTGGAATTCAGAATTCACACATACGGTTACAAGGTTTGTAATTCTTGTCACAAGGATTACATGGGTATTCTCCTATTTAGAAACTGGGCGAGTTGATCATGGCTACGAGTAAAACAGATGAAAAATTGTTGTTTTGATTGGTGGGAAATTTGTCACGTGAATCTTATGAAACTTATCAGACGAGCGTTCATGAATCGATGTGTGACTGTGCTACAATGCGTTACTTCATCGATTTTTCTGGATAGTGTGCAGGTTTATGCAACAGTTGGTGCCTAAAGAATTAAATAACTTGAGCTGCGCTGCTTTATGAGCACGGAAGGGTTAATAGACCACCCCGCTTGCAAAATATACCCATCGGAGTAGTCCTGACTTTAGATCGTCGCTGGTCTCAGACCGTCACATGGTAAGGGCGAGCCAAATCTGAGGCGAGAGCATTCATAATCCAGAGAGGAAAGAGGGAAGTTTTTGTGTTTGTTTTATGGTTTAAGTTAGCATTTTACCACATTGTTATATTTGCTGATTTGTCGACCTGTAATATCTGTTGCTAACCCGATCCAGTGCCTAGTACCGGAGAAAAAAATACTCACAGAAGGGAACACAACCGATATATTCCGAGCAAGCGAGTGCGAGAACAAAAGTTACAACTGCGCCACGCTATTTAAAGGGGACTTTCTGACATTGATCCAGGCTGTCTGATAGGCGTTAGTGAACACCCATCAACTTCGATCGTGCCTCTATGACATGCCTGAACACTGATAACTTTCGGCCGTGATTCTGTGGCGTGCAAGAATGATTGACGGGCCTGGAGGCTTGCCGGCTTCCCTTTTGAAATTTTGGTAGAGCAGTAGGTTTCGGGTGTTTTGAGGTTGCTTTCGGGAATCTGACCTTCCTGATACACATACGTCTATCTCCTAGTGAACTCCAGCAAACGTCACAGCATACCGTTGCACAATGAAGAGGAAGGGAAACGAAATGCAGGACCCGTCAACGGATGATTATTTTTCATTGGTGATTTATAATTTAATTTGTAACTGAAGAGGTCATCGAGAGATCATCGTTCCATTGTGGGGTTTAGCTTGAGCGGACACTTACGATAAAACACGGTTTGACCTCGATTACGAGCAACGTTTTTTAAGCTAAACATCAAAAATTTGTTATTGAAAAAGCCTCGTTTGTCCGGGCATTTCGTCCAAATTAACACAAATTTTCCACCAATACAACTCCGGTAAATTCTGGGCACAGTAACCAAGATGGCTTTGAATACACTAATAACACTTTAGAGGAACCAATTAAGCGAGGCCTACACAAGTTGGAGAAAGAATAGGGCAATTCATCTTTTATGGAGATGAGCTTCTCTACTCATAGGGGGCTGCTGTGTGGGTAATCAACAATGCTGCTTGAGAGAACTCATCAGCTGGAGTAGTAAAACGGAGAAATCGAACATGAGCGCTAATTCCGTTGTGGTAGAACCCCGTAAAACCTTAGGGTTTTATGTGACGAACAAGGATAGTTCACATGTATATTGGTGACGCGTAACTACGTTGCTAGAGGTTCTTGACTAAACGAGGTGCCGAAAAGCTATGCATACATTTGTGGCAGATTTCAAAGTAGGAGCGTTCACTGAACTGATGGGCATTGATAGTTGAAGTCAAAAGTGTGAGAAAACTTAAACTAAAAAAACTTAAAACTTAGAACTTAAAACTTAAAACTTAAAAACTTAAAAACCTAAAAACTTAAAACCTGAAGGAACCATTTTTCAGCAGGAAACCTCGAACGAACAGCGATCTATGGCCTAACTAGGCTGTGGAAAGCAAAGCACTGAGATGCTTTACGATGAGAATTTATTCGCACTACAGTACACCTAGTG